GAAGTGGGAGCCTTGTGGCGGTAGCTGAGTACGGTGGTGTGTGCTGACGCTGGGATGAACCGCAATTCAGATCAGGAGGTGGCGTGCACGCTGCTGGTAGGCTTCGATGGTAACTTTATGAATTCGAAGGACCTTAAGTTGGCGTTGGAGAAGGGTGACATGGATGCCCGAGCCGATGCGTTGGAGACGATGATTCGACTCCATTTGAATGGTGAGCCGCAGAATCATATGATCATGTCAGTCATCAAGTACATTACTCCGCTGGAGGATCACCATATCAAGAAGCTCGTGCTGTATTTTTGGGAGGTGGTGGATAAGACGGACAAGGACGGGAAACTGCTGAGCGAGATGATCCTCATCTGTTCCTTTCTGCGGGAGGACTTGCTCCACCCTAACGAGTATGTGCGTGGTCTCACACTGCGGTTCCTCTGCAAGGTGAAGGAAAAGGAGTTGATCGAGCCTCTGATATCGTCTGTTGTGCAGAACTTAACACACCGCGTGACGTACGTCCGTCGTAGCGCCGTGCTGGCGGTGCACACCATTTGTAAGAGGTTCCCGGAGCTCCTTCCTGACGCCCCTGAGCTCGTCGAGAAGTTTATTAGCGAGGAGAATGATGTATCGGCCCGTCGGAACGCATTTGATATGCTTGTGGAAACCGCCCCTGAGCGGGCAGTGCGTTTCCTCACGCATTTCCGCGAGTCAACGGACATGGCAGACGCTGGAGCGGCATTTCAGATGTCGGTTGTCGACTTTGCTCGCCAGATGATACGGGCGAATCCGTATGACAAGGCCAAGTATGTGGCTATTCTGTTTAATATCCTGCAGTCCAAGAACCCTGCGGTTCGCTACCAGTGCGCATCGACGCTGTTGAGCCTCTCGTCTTCCCCGACGGCTATTCGACAGGCGGCACTAACCTTTATTGATTTGCTAAAGACGCACGCGGACAACAGTGTGCGTCTGATTGTGGTGGATCAGCTAGATGCTATGCGGATGAGATTCAGCGACATTCTGCAGGACTCTCTCCTTGATGTGGTGAGCGCCTTGGTGAATGGTTCAACAGAAATACGCAAGCGTGTGGTGGCGCTGGCGGTTGAACTTGTTTCAAGTAAGAATGTTGAGGTATTTTTGCAGGCGATGAGGAAGGAGCTTGTGCGATCGCAGAGTGAGGGCGATCTCGTGGATCAGGCTTCCATGCAGGAATATAAACTGATGCTTATTCGTGCGATTCGCACCGCTGTGGTTCGCCAACCGCACATGGCGGCGTCGGTACTGCCCATAATGATGGACTACACATGCGATGCCTCCAGCGGAAGTTACGAGGTCATATCGTTCATTCGAGAGGTTCTGCAGGCGCAGCCGTCACTGCGCGCCGGGACACTGCAACAACTGATGGAAATATTTTCTATGATCACCTCGCCGCGTGTGGTTCGGGCGGTGCTATGGTTGTTTGGCGCACATGTGTCCTCCGCAGAGGAGGTACTGGCAGTGCTGGCGCTTCTAAAGAAGTCTTTAAGTCCACTCCCGCTCACGCCTCCTTTGGTGGCGCTGACATCTGCCAGCGGGGATTCCAATGCGTCGCCTGCCCCTGCCATGCACGCCGTGACTACTGTGCGGGAGGACGGTACGTATGTGACGTCCTACACGGCTGTCCCAGCAGCGGCAGCGGCCGAGTCGGTGAATGAGGCGTGTGAGTCATTCAGCGGCATGCGCACACTCATCGCGAAGGGTGATTACTTTGTAGCGGCAGCGCTCGCCAGCGCCCTGTCGAAGCTCGTTGTTCGCTTGTTTAACCACTACGGCGACACCGTAGACGCGGCGACACTGGGCATGGCGCAGGATGATGCCCTGGCGCTGCTACAGGAGATCATTCGATACGGCACCGCACCTGATGCCGGGAGTGCAATTGACGAGGACTCACACGAACACGTCCGCCTGGCGATCATGGCCATTGCGAGCCCGAAATCAGCCTTCTTGGCGGCCTACATTGACGACACGTACAACGCTCTCAGCGCGGTGGAAGGCACCGTGGCGGGCTCTGCTGTTGGCGACGCTGCCGACGGCGAGCCGTCCAAGACAAATGGAGCCGCCGCTCTCTGCAGCATAGACACACCTGTCATCTTTACACAACTGACACACGGGAAAGATGCTTTTCTTGAACTGGAAGCGACCGACGATTTGGGCTCTGCCGTCGCGAATGCCTCCATCGATAAAACAGAGGAATTCCTCAAGCGTCTCGAGAAGACCATTCCCCTCTCCGGCTTCTGTGATCAGGTATATTGCGAGGCGACCGTAACGGTGCATCAGTTCGACGTATCAGTGGACTGGTACCTGGTGAACCGCACGCCCCACTTGCTGCGGGATTTGACAATTGAGCTGGCGTCCCTCGGTGGCATGAAGTTGTGCGAGCGGCCGCAGGTGCACAACTTGCCGCCGCACGGCACGCTCAAGCTGCGCACCGCGCTGAAGGTAAGCTCAACCGAGACGGGCGTCATATACGCCAATGTGTTGTACGACGCCCCCAATGGTGATCGCTGCTGTGTCATCTTGAATGACATCCACGTCGACATTATGGACTACATTAAACCGGCGTCGTGTCTGACGACGGAGTTCCGTGAGAAGTGGAGCACATTCGACTGGGAAAACACCATCGCCGTGAATACAGACAAGACGGACTTGCGCGACTACGTGGAGTTTGTGATGAAGGAAACAAATATGCAGCTGCTGGAGCCATTTCCCGAGATGGACGAGGAGGAGCTGGAGGGACTCTCCTCTGGGGACGGCGACGACGATTACGGATATATCTCCTGCAGCCTGTACGCACGCACCGTCTTTGGCGAGGATGCGCTGGCAAACGTGTCCGTCGAGAGGGACTCGCACGGCAAAATAAGCGGCGTGGTGCGTATTCGATCCAACACGCAATCCATCGCGTACGGCATTGGCGAGAGGCTTAGCCTCCTCGAGACCGGGGGGCGACAGTAACCGTGGGAGCAACAGGAAGAGTAAGCAAACGGAGAAAGGAGAAGAATTGAGGAGGGAGGGGAAAGGAAGGAAAGAACGAAAAACAAAAAAGAAAAGAAAACCAACAACAACAAAGAAAGGAAATGAAAAAAAAAAAAATGGAGGAGCTTATGACGCCGCGAATAGGGGATGCTGATGCTTCCTAACTCCACGTGACACGTGCGGAAGTGGCTGGACGTGTGAGCTGTTGCGCTGCCATGCCCGATGGTCGCCATGACTGCTGCTGCTGCTGCCACGGCGGCCGCCCCAACGCCTGGCGGGCGGGGTGGAGCTGGAGGGAGCAGGGCGGGGTGGCACGAGGCCAAGCGAGAAGCGGTAACCCCCCCAAAAAAAAGATGGATGAAACCCACATCAGGGGTCCACTTACTTGATTTTTCGCTTTCTTTGCCTTTTATTGTTTTCTTTTGGTGTTGTTGTTGCGATTTTCCTTTTTTTTTTTGATCTCCCTCTTTTGGTGCTCCCTGCAAATGCACATTCGCCGCAGACGCCGGCTGCAATGTTATTTAGCCCCGCTATCAGTGAGGCGGAGATTCGCGCGGTGCAGGACGGCGTCGCGAACGACACCCGCGGCGACGGGCGGACGCTGACGCAGCGGCGCCCCTTCACTGTTGCGCCCAACTACAACGCGGGCGCCGCGTCGGCCGA